AAATTTTTATAAATAATTTATCCATTTTTATATATAATTTATCTATTTTTAGTAATTATTTGTGCACATTTTATGTTATGTAATATGTGCACACAAAAATTAATGTGCATATGTGCACATTGTACATATGAATTTTACACACTATTAAACTGGTTAAATTTTTAAAATACTTTAACTTAATATTAAAAATGAAAAAATAGATAGGAAATGATAAACATGATTAATATACTATTTAGAAAATGATCAACATACTATATAATTTTAAACATATGATATAAATTACATGATTTAAATTATAAAAATAGATTGCCTCAATATTAAAATTTAAATTTTATTTATCATATGGGAGGGTTTCTAGGAAAATCATGTTCCGAGAAATTTTTGACTTAAATTAAAGAGCTTAATATATTTTAATCTAATAACATCAAAAACTAAAATGCAATAAAAATCTCAAATTTGTTAAAAAATTTCCGGAACCTGATTTTCCTAGCAATCAACCCATATTATGCAAAAATAGAAATTAATCCTAAAGCCTCTTTTTCCTAGCAAACCTCCCATATGTGTATTTTTTACCCTAAATTTCATTGTGAACTAAATTTCATTGAAAGAAATTGGGAAGCTTGTAAAAGATATGCACAAGAAAATTGCAATTATTTATGAAATGGATTACAAAAAGTTGTACCAAAATCTCTTGATTCAGTACTTTTAATTACAATTAGAAAATTTGTAAGAAAATGTTGACGTTATATAGATGCTTATAAAAAAAGTATTAATGGAAAATTGGTAGAATATGCTGTTAAGAAATACAAATCACAGAAGAATTCCAGATAGTATTTTAGAAGATTTAGAAGAAATTGATTAAATATAAAATATCTAACAATTATTTTTAGGCCAATAAAAATCAATTCACGTGATCAATTCACGTGAAGATCTACAAAAAATTTTCGGACTCCTTTTGATGAGTATAGATATTATGCACCATATAATAAAAATTTTAAAATCAAAATTTTGGCTGAACCCCGGCTTTTGCTGGACTGGTCCTCATTTAAAGTTTTAGAAGACTTGATACTGAGCTATTCAAGTAAAATTCATAAGTTGTTAATAATTGATGCGATTCTTGTTCTTGTGAATTATAAAATCGCGTTGTGTCATATTTTACGAAACAGAATTATGAGTTGGAAAAAATGGTAAGGAAAAAGAGGAAATTTTAGAATCTCCTAAATGATTTTAAATAACATGAGATATCTTTATGGCGAGCCTGGAGATCTAGGACAGGCGATCCTGGATATGAATCGTTAGCTTTCTTTATGACTTTTTTATTTTTATCTTTTTTTGGTGTATCTTCTAATGGAGTTGTGCAGACATTATTGTTTCCAGCTGTGTAAGGAATTTTGTTGATTTCTTGGCCGTGAATAAGACATCCGTCTATATTAATTAAAAGGGAAGCCCAAATAATTTGTAAGTCCATACCTGCCAATTATTTAGTTCAGCCATATCTTTAGAAAATTTTTCGAAATCATCAAAGGTCTCAGGCACTTTGGTGCACATAAAACAGTTAAGAAGATAGACTGACGGTAAGGGACGGATCATATATTCAATTTGAGATAGCTGTCTAAAAATAATTAGATAAGTAAATAATTGCGCTTTCTTATATTCAACCTTTAATCAAATACTTATAACAAATTGTACCAAGTAAATTCGCGCCTTCTCCCTAGGTATGGTTTGTGATACGGCATTTAAAATCCTCATCGCATTTCGACATAATTTAACATGGTCATTATGTTCTTTAGTTAATGACGCTTTTCTGCCACTTGAAAATTCAACGACAATTATGACTTGATTCTTCGGTTTTGTTCTTATTACTTTAAATAATCCATCAAATTTATGTATTTTGTGTGGGGAGTAGTCAATTCAATCCTAAGCAAAAAATAATTAACTGATAAGCTAACCCTAACACTTTAAAATTTATAATTGATACTTACCACCCACTGTCTAAAACATCTTGATGAAACTTGAATAAACGATTTAAGATATAGATTACAGTGTCTATCGCGAATGTTCGTTCTAAATTAAAACTTTTTGATTCATAGCTAATATGAGCTTCTAATCGTGTGGCACTATTTACAGAAAGGTTAATAAAAATGTAAAATTGGCTAAAACGAATATTAACATGCATATGAAATTACCAGTGTTCGAGTATTTGGTGAGCAATATCGTAGTCCTCATAATAATAGGAATCGAATCTGCCTAAAATAAAAGATTTACGAACCAAAGTTGGGATTTGTTTCCTATTACATATACGTTCATTAAACTGTTCAACATATTGTTTAAATTCTTCAGTTTGATCTGAAGTTTGTTTTTTAAGAATCGTATTAAGCCATGCATGTTGATCTTCAATTTTTCTGCGTGTTTCTAAATCGGACAAATCAATATATTATTTAGGTATACCGATGACATATGGTCCTCATTAGATAAGTAATTTTTCGCGAATATCCCTCTCATTCTAGAGATTAAAGTATGAGTAAAGAAAATTATCGTATGTAAAAGATAGCTAATGTCAAATACCTGTATGAGACTCTCGATTTCTACATTATCTTCAGTTATGTTAATCACTTCTGTATCGGTCTCTTCATTAGATTCAGAATGAGATCCTGCGATTATACCACTATCTTCAGTTATGTCAGTCTCCGCATTAGATTCAGAATAAGATTCTGCAATTATATCACTATTAGTGACTTGTGTCCTCCTTTTTGGTGGTTAGCAAGATACATACGGTTCATCCAGCACACGTTTCTTAAATTTTTCTACAATTGATCTTTGTAGTGAAAGGCCTTGATCTACGGTCTCTATCGTCGCATTCAAAATATGTTGGGTCTGTTCAAGATTCAATTTTCCTCCATTTCGGTCCATTTGCAGACATTAGGAAGTATTGTCATAAACGAAAGCCACTAAACTTCGAAAACAACATACTTTCTCCTTTTCAAGTTACTTGCATCTCTCCTCAAGCAATCTGATCTTAAGAATACCTTGTTTTTTTCACTTGTAATTCCCAGAAAAGTTTTACCTCTGCCGAGTTTTTATCGCGCTTATAAATATTAATTTTTAAGGGGAAAAAGAAAAGAATGACGATTTATTAATTTTATCCTAACTTGCATGTAAGAAATAACAAATCTAACTACAAACAAGTTAGCAACCTTTCCCACTACCAGGGGATGGTAAAGCGGAGTAGTATCACGTGACCTCACGTGAACGTACAATAATTGGTTAGGGATAATGGGTAAACGGCATTGGCTAGGAGAATTAAAAATTAAAAAATAAAAATAAAAATAAATAAAAATAAAATGTATACTTAACTTTATTATCAAAGAAAATACTCTACGCGTTGGAAGTATCGTAGCTCTTTTTTTCAGCTATGTTATTAGCACTATACTGTTTTTTATCTGGTCTTAAGAAAAGTAAACTTTTACATTCGATTTGAAACGGGAAGGTTGAGGTAAATTATGGATTCTACTACCTCTTCGGTGGCCATGTTTCCTCTAGTTAATAAGGATTATATTACCTCCTCGGTGACTACATTTCCTTTGTTTAACAAGGATTCTACTAATTCTTTGGTGGCTATGTTTTCTCTAGTCAATGAGGATTATACTACCTCTTCAGCGGCTACATTTCCTTTATTTAATAAGGATTTTACTAGTTCTTCAGCGGCTATGTTTCCTTTAATCAATGAGAATTCTACTACTTTTCAGCGACTACATTTTCTTTGTTTAACAAGGATTTTACTACCTCTTCGACGGCTATGTCTTCTTTAGTTAACCTTACTCTGAATGAAATTCGGAATCTTATTTTTAATGTAAATAATACTTTAGAAATTCCAATCAAAGATTTTGATGACAATTGGTGGCCTTTGGTTATAAATATTTGGATACAATGGAATTCATGAAGACTTGCCAATGGTGATTCTTGAAAGATTTTTGCATGTCGACTTATAAAACATCGAGAATCAAGTAAAAGGCAAAAAGAAAATATTCTGATTAATAAGTGTAGAAAAATAGTGATCTGATCTTCAAATATTTGCCAAGCAAAAATTAAAATCACACGCTTAGTTTCTTTAGGAATTATTAAAATCGAACGTTATAGTAATTCACCTGATCATACCCACAATTTGAGAGAAAATGATAGGGTTAAATGCTCACAAGCTGTTTGAACTTTGATTGAAAAAGAGGCAGTTAAAAACTATACTTCACCGGCAATTACTGCTGCTATAAAAGAGTATACAACAACTGAATTAGATCTTGGTTAAGTGTATGGGTGTATTCACAAATTCAATTAGATTGGATTGGATTAGATTTTCATATAATCTAATCCGTGTTCACAAATAAATGGATCAGATTATGAATTTTGTATAATATTATAAAAAAAAGAATTAATATTATTTAAATTAAATAAAAATTTGAACAATGAATATTCAAAGACATATTATAATTCTTTCACTTGTATATCTAATTTTTTTAAACCAAATTGACTTTTCTTTTGAAGAAACATCTGATAATAACATTGATTTATCAATCTTTCATGAATATATAAGTGTTATTGAAAAAAATAGTTCTTTAAGAACAGATTACAGGTGAGCAAGAAGAACACGTAGTATTTGTTGGTTTAATAACATATGTAATAATTGGAAAAATGTAGAATTTAAGTGGCATTTTAGAATAACAAAAATTACATTTGAATGGTTATGTACTGAAATAGCACCTTTATTATTACAAAGAAATAATCAAAGAGGCACTCCAAGAATTCCAATTAAATATAAAGTTTTATTAACTTTATAGTTTTTAGCTACTGGTCAAAGTTATAGAACACTTAGACAATTATTTGCATTAGGAGAATCAACTATATGCTATATTATTAGATCTGTTTTATATACAATTAAATGTCACTTTCTTTCATCAAAAATTCGGTAAAAAAATTGTTAATTAAATTTATTATTCTGATAATTAAAATATTTTAATATTCTTTTAAATTAATAGATTTCCTAATAATCATGTTGAATTCAGTAAAATTGCAAGAAAATTTAAAAGAAAAGCTGGTATTCCATATGCAGTAGAAGCAATTGATGGAAGTCATATTCCAATTAAAGCACCTAAACAATATCCTATAGATTATTATAATAGAAAAGGTTTTTATTCTATTGTTTTACAAGCAGTTATCGATTCTTCTAAAAAGTTTATTGATATTTTTGTGGAATATCCTGGCTCAACTCATGATAGTAGAATATTTCATAATTTACCATTATATCATAAATTTAGTTCTTCTAGTTCTTCAGTTATTCCTACAAATGCATATATTTTAGGCAATGCAGGTTATCCTTATCAAAATTGGTTACTTACACTATATCGTAATAATGGAAGATTAACAGCAATACAAACATATTATAATGTCAAACATTCTCAAACTCGTATAGGTATAAAACAAGCATTTGGAAGATTAAAATCAAGATTTAGGTGTTTAATTAATCCTTTAACAATGTCAATAGAAATAGCCATTCTTATTGTAACAGTAACTTGTATTCTTCATAATATTTGTAAAGAAAGTCAAGAAGATATATTAGATGATAACGATTATTTTGATGATCAAAATAATTTTCAAACTTTATTGGATAATAATAATATCAATGGTGTAACTTATTTGACTAATTCTATTAGAGATAATTTAGCAAATTATCTATGGAATAAAAAAATTCAAAGAGATGTTAGAAAAAATAGATACAATTTTATTGGTGAAGGAGATGAAGGAGATAGTGAAACATCTGAATAAAATAAATAATTTTCACTTTATAAATTTTATGATTTAAATTTTATTTCATTATATTTTTTATAAAATATTAAAATTCATCAAAATGTGGGAGTGAAGAACTTCTAATATGTAAAGTATTGATGTTAGTATTATCGATTTGTATAGTATATAGATGTCTGCCGAAACCTTCTCAAAATAATTTCATCATACCCTTTTCTATGTTTTTAAAATAGTTTCGACAGTTTTAACTTTTGTCGTATCGAATAGGTTTCGTCGTATTCCTTATTATGATTTTAATATAGTTTCATCTAAGTTTTGACTGTTATTAAGGGGTTTCGTCCCTCATCTATAGTATAATACTTTTGATTGCGTGATATTATCAATTTGCATAGCATTGATTTGTGGAATATTATTTTGCATAACATTATTTCACATTAAATCAATTGAAGTAGATTAGAAATAAAAAGGAACTATAATATAATAATTAAAAAATAATTAGAAAATAAAAATATGAATTTTATAATAATAAATAACATATACTATTATTAGTTTGAAGCAATGCCATATTATTTGATAAGTGTAAAGCTGAAATTAGTAAACTAAACTCATGTCTTCTTTGATCGTCTCTTTGCTTTCTCTCAATTTCTTTTCTTTTTTGTTCTTCCCTTTTGTATTCTTGCTCTTCTCTTCTAAGATAAATAAGTTTCTCTAATACACCTTTAACCTATAATACTTCAGATCTATTAGCTTTTTGTAGCTTTTCTTGGATTAGTTCAGACTCATTTTTTCATTTATTCTGACCAGTAATTTCATTAAATAGAATGTTATTTTCTTCAATATTAGCATTATCAAATTTCAAACTACTATTCAACGATTTTAGAGTTAAACTAGGACGGTTTTCATCAAAAATATTTTCTACTTCTTCTTTATATCATACTTCAATTGGATTATTACCACTTTGTTTATTATGGTCCATATCATTTTACTAATAGTTAATATTTTAATAAAATATTAAAGTATTAAATAAAAAGTAAAGTTACTATCTTATAATTTTTTTTAATATTTTTTCATTTAACTGAGCATTGTTCAGCGAAGTATTGGTAATTATTATTAAGAAATATAGCGAACGCATCTTGCCAAAGTTTCACTTTTGTATTACCACTACCATCTCGCTTTGTACTTAGTTGATTTACTTCAACTTTCCGTTCTATTAAAAATGAAAGTAACATTTTAATAGAATCTTCACTTCACTGAACCTTTTTTTTATTATTTTTATCTGGTTTAATAGAGGTCTCTTTTTTGTTAAAAGTTCTTTCCATTCTTTATTGTTAAACTACAACAAAAGATAATAATAAGATTAAAAAAAAAGTGAAATTGAATATAATGCCAACTATGTCGATCTTAGAAGCATATTTGGCGAGATAATGTAGTAATAATAATACTTATTTTATTAACTATTAGATAATTAGAAAGTCTGTGGTAAAATTATATATATTTTTTTTTTAAAACCATTTGACTGACATCTAAGCAGATATACTTTCATGTTAAGGAATTCTTATCCTAGTAATAAGGTAGGAAAGGATTATATTACTTCATATTTTATTTATATTTCATTATGTATATTATTATATAAAAAAAAGATACCGGGATTTTAGAATTTTGATGAAAAACTCAGTATTTATACTAAGAAGTTCATTAACGTTAAGTGGTACGAATTCAATAATTCAATCAGAATATTTTTAACAAATTTCTTCAAGTCAATCTTATACAAAAAAATAAATACTTTTTTAGACTGATTCAAGTTTGTTACTAGATCAAGCTCGTAAGATATCAAAAGATTACCATAATACAATTCATTTTCTTAATTGATAACTTAATGCAGCATTAATATATGGTTAAGTAATTATTATAACAGTAGTGATTATGGTGTTAGAGTGCAAGCATAGTGTCATTAATCATAGTTTTACCCTGAATTAGAAATTTAATAGTAAAATCCAATCTAATCCAATCAATTAGATTAACTCGATCTAATCCAAATCAGATTTTTAATTTGTGAATTTAGATTAGATTAAGATGTCGACTCAATCCAATTCAAATGAATTTGTGAACGCACCCTATGTGATTTGAGACGAAAAGAAGTAGCGAATATAAAGTATAAAATTCTTGGACCTATGGAGGCCCATCTTATTGGTAATTATGACTTAAAAAAAGATATAGTGAAGGCTATATCATATTTAACAAATCAAGGATATCAGGTTGAAAGTTATTATATTTTCTAACAGTCTACCAAAGGTTTTGTGTTTGCCCACCCTAAACAACTTAAAAAACTTTTGCATTATGGCTAGTTAATACTCATTGATTTCACTCATAAAACCAACCGATATGATTGACATCTTTTCACCTTATATATTTGAGATAGTTATGGGTGTTGGAATGCTAGTGCACACTTTCTTATAAGCAATAAGAATAGTGATACTATTGCAAAAGCATTAAAAATAGTTCATGAAAAATATTGCCAATGGATTCCTTGGTACATTCTTTCAGATCAAAGTAGCATTGAAGCAAAAAGTATTAAAAAGGTTTTTCCTGATCTTAATGGTGGTGAATAAGAATGTGAGATAATTCTCTGCATTGTTCATATTATGTGAATATGGATGACTAAGATTTATGATAAAAAAATGCGAGATATTATGGTCGCAGCAATGCACAAAAGAACAAAAATTAGATGTGAAAAGCTTATACAAGATGCTATCAATGCCTGTCCTATTCCTACTATTAAAAATTATATCAGAAGAAATTACATGAAGAATACATCACAATAGGCATTATGGGCATGGCAACACTCACCTTTGCTTTTACAAGTTATTTCTACAAATCTATTAGAATCTTACCATAGTGAATTAAAAAGAGAAATGTTTTCGTCATATGGATTAATTGGTAAAAATATTTTATTATTTTAAATCTCTTTAATTTTT